TATTTAGAATCGAGTAGGACCAAGTCAAGTCTGGCCTCCATGCTTCATTCTGCAGCAAAGGCTAAGAAACCTCTCCCTTGCATATTGAACAGGAAGGAGCTTTAATCAGTTTATCATTTGATAACAAGTTGTACCACAGGCCATCAAACTCTATCTTGCCAGAGTACACATGGTGTGGTTTTATGGACCATTGCATAGTGCAGAATGCAGAAGGCCACATAATCTTCCAATGTATATATCTTAGGAACTTTGGTCAGTGACTGTGGCTTTACATTCACAGTGTGCTGTTTGTTTTATATTCCCAACTCTTAATGTGTATTCTTTATGGCCATTACATTACTCATTACTTAATATTGTAAATGATAGTTTTGTTGATGGATAACGGAAGATTTGACATCTTTTTCTTGTTCAAGGCTCGACAATTGTGACTAATGGTTGAACTAAGTTAATGTTATAATATTTCAAGACATGGATTTGTATTTGCTCCATAGTGATCACTGAGGCCTCCAGTTGGTCCTCCAGCAAAGGGTAACCATATGAAGAACTTGATTGAAAAGGCCTCCTAACTTAGTGCTACTAAAGAATTGTGTGGTGGGGAGCTTTCGTAGTTTTTGCCCGAGCTCTTGGTAAGTGCAGAGGGCAAATTTAGATCTGTAATAGATGCATGAATGTATTAGAAAGATTTACAGTAGGGATGAACAGGATACAGTACATATTGTTATATAATGTACATATCATAGATGCCTGTTGGTCAAGGTACATTTGTTTCTGGCTTATGTGTAGTGATTTCTGGGGCAGAAGAATTGTGGTGATGGTAGTTGGGCTTTAGCAGGAACTCTTTCAAATCATTTGGATTCTTTCCTTTTGCTTTAAGGTACTAAATACCAATATATCTAAACTTTGCAAACAGACATGTATTCAGTCCTTGATAGATACACCTTTATTTAAATGTTCATAAACTTGCATCTACTTTAAGGCATTTACATAAACTATCATCTGACCATAGGACAAAATTTAAGAAAATTTGAGAAATGTCTTAGATTATTTTTAAAAGGTTTAATAATGCTAAAATATGCTATTCCCTTACAGTTCCAGAAGCGAAAAGGAAGCCAGTCATAGCATTATGGGCCTGCCTAGTTTTATTCCTAACTGCTTATACAATCTATAAATTCAGTATGTGCATTGGAGATTGTAAGTATCAAAGTCTCTCTCTCTCTCTCTCTCTCTCTCTCTCTCTCTCTCTCTCTCTCTCTCTCTCTCTCTCTCTCTCTCTCTCTCTCTCTCTCTGTGTGTCTCTGTGTTTCTGTCTCTCTCTGTTTTGCTCTCTCTCCCCCTCTCTCCCTCCCACCTCTCTCTCTCTCTCTCTCTCTCTCTCTCTCTCTCTCTCTCTCTCTCTCTCTCTCTCTCTCTCTCTCTCTCTCTCTCTCTCTCTCTCTCTCCACCTCTCTCTCTCTCTCCCACCTCTCTCTCTCTCTCTCTCTCTCTCTCTCTCTCTCTCTCTCTCTCTCTCTCTCTCTCTCTCTCTCTCTCTCTCTCTCTCTCTCTCTCTCTCTCTCTGTCTCTGTGTTTCTGTCTCTCTCTGTTTTGCTCTCTCTCTCTCTCTCTCTCATTCTCTCTCTCTCTCTCTCTCTCTCTCTCTCTCTCTCTCTCTCTCTCTCTCTCTCTCTCTCTCTCTCTCTCTCTCTCTCTTTCTAAGTATCAAAAATATATTTTCATTATAATTATAAAAAGTTTACAAAGTATTTAGGAAATTTTCTTTATGCTATACTTTTTTTTTTTTTTTACGTTATACTTAAGTCAGGAGTTACAGCGATAGAGTGTTCTGCTGTCGAATTTGTGGCGACTGGGATGAGGAAGTAGCAGCAGCAGCAGCAGCAGCCGGGGCAGCATCAAATAACGCATCGCAAACGGCGCCTGTGCAGCAGATCTGTGTTGTCCCTAATGAATCCGATGGCGCTGCTGGGAAACAAGAGGCAAATAAGACTGGTGGGTGGGTCTTGCCTGCTGTTTTGAGAGAATCAGATGTTTGGAATTGGATTCGTCTAAGTCTTCTTATCTTGTGGTTTGTTACACTTTGATGCTGATATTCCGCAAAAGGATTTCATGTTAGTAGGAAGCAATAGTTCCGTTTAGGGCATAATACTTCAGTGTGACAGAATAATTGAATAAAGGAAAATAAAAAAGAAGATATTTGATTTGTCAAGTATTTTATTTTGCTGAGAACACTGAATTCATTTCTTATCTATTGAAGCTTTACTCTCTATTCTTAAGTCACAGTGGATACTTTTATTTTTTGTACAGATAAAAAGAAAGTATCTACTGAAGAAAAGGATCCTGTTGCACAATACCCAGTCTATGGAGGTGACCAGCCAGTGTATCCCCAGCAACCAGGATATGGTCCACAGTACCCAGTTTATGGAACTCACCAACCGGTATATGGGGACCAACATCCAGTTTATGGAGCCCAACAACCAGAATATGTAACTCAGCAACCAGTATATGGATCTGAAACCCAGCAACCAAAATGCATAACCCAACAACCAGAATCTGAAACCCTTGCACTAAAATGCATAACCCAACAACCAGAATCTGAAACCCTTGCACTAAAATGCATAACCCAACAACCAGAATCTGAAACCCTGCAACTAAAATGCATAACCCAACAACCAGAATCTGAAACCCTGCAACTAAAATGCATAACCCAACAACCAGAATCTGAAACCCTTGCACTAAAATGCATAACCCAACAACCAGAATCTGAAACCCTTGCACTAAAATGCATAACCCAACAACCAGAATCTGAAACCCTTGCACTAAAATGCATAACCCAACAACCAGAATCTGAAACCCTGCAACTAAAATGCATAACCCAACAACCAGAATCTGAAACCCTTGCACTAAAATGCATAACCCAACAACCAGAATCTGAAACCCTTGCACTAAAATGCATAACCCAACAACCAGAATCTGAAACCCTTGCACTAAAATGCATAACCCAACAACCAGAATCTGAAACCCTTGCACTAAAATGCATAACCCAACAACCAGAATCTGAAACCCTGCAACTAAAATGCATAACCCAACAACCAGAATCTGAAACCCTGCAACTAAAATGCATAACCCAACAACCAGAATCTGAAACCCTGCAACTAAAATGCATAACCCAACAACCAGAGTCTGAAACCCTTGCACTAAAATGCATAACCCAACAACCAGAATCTGAAACCCAACAACCAGGATCTGAAACCCAGCAACCAGGATCTGAAACCCAACAACCAGGATCTGAAACCCAGCAACCAGGATCTGAAACCCAACAACCAGGATCTGAAACCCAGCAACCAGGATCTGAAACACCACAACCAGAATCTGTTGCACAACCAATGACTGGTCCCCAACAATCAGTATGCAAACCCCTACAACCAGTGATTGTACCCCAGCAACCAATGTATAAACCCCAACAATCAGTATATGGAACACAACCACCAATAAATGGACCAGTGTATAGACCCCAACAGCCATTGTATGGACCCCAACAGCCAACTTATAGATCCCAACAGCCAGTGTATAGACCCCACCAACCATTGTATGGACCCCAACAGCCATTGTATGGACCTCAACCAGTGTATGGACCTCAACCAGTGTATGGACCCCAACCAGTGTATGGACCCCAACCAGTGTATGGACCCCAACCAGTGTATGGACCCCAACAGCCAATGTATAGATCCCAACAGCCATTGTATAGACCCCAACCACCAATGTATGGACCCCAGAAACCAATATATGGAACACAACAACCAGTTTACAGAGCCCAGCACCCTAAAGACCAACAGTCAGTGTATGGAACCCAGCAACCGGTTTATAGAAGTCAGCAACCACTATACAGACCTCGACAACCAGTATATGGACCTCAATAAGGACCAGTACATAAAACCCTGTAACTTTCCAGTAACCAGTAACCTCACTAATGTTCCTTGTATCTGTGTACTTCCACTGGATCATATTTTGTTAGCTGGATAGCTGACAAGATATTTATGATTGTCTTTAAAACTTCTTCCATAGATTGTGATTTGATAGACCACCAGCTCTTAATTGCATTTTATGATAGTATATAATATTGATAAAGCTGTTAGAGAAATTTAACACTACTGATACTTGCTTCATCAAACTGATCATGTTTTTTTTTTCTGAAAAAGAGGGTACTTGTACAGTTTATTCATGATGTCTGCTTAAGAGTGCTTGTACAATTATCATATATTTAGAGTTTGTACAGTCATTATTTATGTTTTCATTTTTACTTTGAAAATAATTATTGAATTAATGCATCACCAAAAAACTGAACTGTGTTAATATTGTTTGTATTTTTTGTTTCTAAATGTTGATGTTTCCGTAGTTTTAACATTTTTATGGTGTATATTGTTGCAGTATTTAATGTTGATCAGCAGTCTGTCTTTTATTCAGTGTATAGTCTTATGGAGTTCAAATAAATTTTTTTCCTAAATATTAAGTAACTTTTGCAAAAGTGGGTTGATTTTCTCAAGACATTGCTGACACAAATTCATCAAAAAGAGAATCATTATGAATGTTTTGTATATAATATGATATCCATACTTGCATTCTGTGGACTTCAAAGGAAAATTCCACTGAATAACATCACTAAGTAATTGTGTGATATCTGCATAGCTATATTTCATGTCTGAATTTTGTTTTACTTATTTTTATAAATCTGTATTTTATGCCATTCCATCTTACTTTGAAGGCAAGCCATCATGCTGTCCACAGCGAAAGGTGTCTCACACTAGACAGTAGTCTGCACATAAAACATAACTTCACAACTGATGATTTTGGAGAATTTATTTCAAATAGACCATCACATTTGCAACAAAGTGAAATATTTGCACTGACAATTTCTAATAAGAGAGAGCTCAATTACTTCATCAATTAAAAATAAAAATGAAATGAGAAGAGTACACTAAATTTAGAAGAAAACAGATACACATGAAAAACAACTGTACACTTTATTTACAAAATAATCAACAGTATAAAGCCTTGCATATTTAACCATTTTCAGTACAAAATACATAAGAGGAAAATATAGAAAATTACATTATGATGAACTACATTTTAATAACAAATAAATAAATGGATAAAAGGTCTATAGGATAGATTAATAAGTAATTTGCATTGTTTAATAAAATAATAAAAACACCTATGTGACTTCAGACAAGTTATATGTAAACAATATCTTACCTTTCTGAGACAAATTAAGAATAAAATCCAAGTCTCCAAAACTGACTGAACAGAAAATCTCTCGGAAATGATAAAAAAACAAAAAAACTAGTCTTGAAAGATTCCTGTCATCAGGATTTCTCGTCTTTTTCCTTCAGCCTAATGTGATAGAGGTCCATTTCCTGGGCCGTCACATCTCCCGGAGCCCCTGACATGTAGCACCTTCCTTCAATGCTCTTGGGGAAGGCTATCACATCCCGTATGCTGTTGGCTCCACACATCTCGGCAATGAGTCGGTCGAAGCCTGCGGGCGGAAAAGAGACGGGTCGCAAATACTTCAATTTACTGAATGCTAGTAATACTTGTAATAAACATTGATTGACTTTTGACAGGAATTCCTTCCAATATTGAATTACAGAGTTCTAGTTGAATTCCAGTCCTTGTATTAATATCTGTTATCAGTTTTCTTTTCAGTACTGTAAACTGTGAATTCTTAGCTGAATTTCAGCAATTGTAGTCCATACTTTATACCTGTTTTGACTGCTTTGAAAATGTATGCTTTTGCAGCTTTAATACTAAAGTCAATAATGCCAAAATTGAACTAAAATTCTAAAATACATAAAATCCATTTTTAATGCTAAAAAAATTTATGCTCTGACACTAAACTCCTGTCTTTCGCGTATCCTCTTACCAAGGGCAATGCCACCGTGAGGAGGAGCTCCTGATTGTAAAGCTTCATTAAAGAAGCCAAGACTAGACGCATCTATCCCCAAGATGTTCTCTAAGACGTGTTGTTGCATTGATGGCTCATAGATTCTCATTGACCCGCCACCAATCTCGCAGCCATTCAACACAAGGTCGTAGTGCTGGGACCTTGCCTGTCAAGAGAGGAAAGCCATCCATTTTATTGTTTTATTCTTACTAAGTGTCCTCTGTGTCTCAGTTGTTCAACATATTTCTCAGTTTCTGTGAGATTTTCCTTTCTCATCCATCTGCAAATTGCCAAACATTGAGGAAAAAGAATTGCAACAGACCTTTACTGGGTCTGTATGAAGGTAATGAATATCCTCGTCCTTGGGCAGTGTGAAGGGGTGGTGCACTGAGACTAGTTTCCCGCTGTCTTCGTCCATCTCAAAGAGGGGAAAGTCAACCACCCAGAGGAACTTGAAGTCAGATGGATCTCTCACCACAACACCTTCCTGCTCTAAAATGTTTGCCGACAGCAGGCGTAGTTTTCCCAGGAGAGGTAGCTAGAAAGAAGAGGTTAGCCTTATGTATAGTTGTAAAATTTGGAAAATAAAAACAATCCCTACAAAAAACAAATACAAGGTTTTCCCTACTATGTTGGAAGACCTTACTATGGTTTTAAGACTTTCTAATAAATAATAAAACGTACTATGAGGAAAATATCCCATAAGGAAAGCTACAACCCATGGCTATAGACCAATATATGAGAAATAACCGATCTTGCTACATTCCACCTATTCACTCACCACAGATGACTTTTTCCCAACTGCAAGGACAACAGTGTCCCCCACATGTGCGTTCATTTTCTCTATCAAGTGGCTCTGACTCGAGTTATTGATCTTCTTGGCAAGTGGCCCTTGGAGGAGGCTGTCATCCTTCACAGTGAACACAGATGGTCCTTTGAGCTGGTAGTCCTTCTCCGCAAGAGACTCCCACGAAGATACGAGTTTCCGGGTAATATATCTCTGCAAGGTGATTTCTTGTCAAGTGGAATAATTGTAAGCCCTGTTCAATATCTGTGTCTGTATATTATATTCTCTTTCCTTTCAACAGCATTACCTGGCCATTATCTATATCTACATCTATCTATCTGTACATCTATACGAATTATTCCTCTAGCCACTAAGTGGTCTGTCTGCCTACCAATCTCCTCATATGTCCATGAATAAAATCTCCATAATCCCTCTGAACCAAATGAGATCAATTTCCAATAAGAAAACATACATCAAATATGAGAATATCTATCTCAAATATTGTTCTCCTGCTAGATAAGAAGTCAAATTTTCCTTCAGTACCATAAGATCTAGTTTATAACACATTTCTTAAGACTACAAAGCAAACTTTTTAATAACTTTCATGTCTCCTTCCTATCTTCCTGCCATCTGCCTTATCAAATACTGATTCTTACCTCGTTACTTGTGTGCTTGCTTATTTGATTGTATTTTTAAAAGTGCATTTCATCTATTCTTTTTCAAATAAATCACATCCTAAATCTTTGAGAAATATGAAGCATCTTGTAAAAAAAGG